GATCTTATGTTGTTCTCTAGAGGGGATTCCCATTCTGTGCAGGTTTTAATGGATGCTTTGGACCATTTTTCAAGGGTGTCTGGCCTAACCCTTAATCCTACTAAGTCCAACATCTTCCTTGCTGGTAAATACAGGGATGTTAGCCAAAATATTCTGGATCTTGCCTCCTTTCCTCGCGGTCAGCTTCCTGTTAGATATCAGGGTCTCCCTTTGGCCTCTCAAAGGATCTCTGAGAGTGATTTTGCCCCTCTGTTCAAAACTGTTGATGGTTTTCTGTCTAAATGGAGCACTTTGAAGTTATCCTATGCTCGCAGATTGGAACTGATTAGAGCAGTGGTACAGGGAGTCCAATCCTTTTGGCTCCAGGCCTTTCCTGTCCAGAAATATGTGCTTGACCGTATCACCTCCATGTGTAGAGACTTCCTTTGGGGCAGCAAACTTGCCAAGGTTGCATGGGTTGATATTTGCAAGCCAAGGGAGGAAGGTGGTTTGGGTCTGAAGGACGCCAATACCTGGAATAATGCTCTGTTGTGCAAACTTCTGTGGAACCTGGCAGCTAAGAAGGACACCCTTTGGGTCAAATGGGTTCACAATGTTTACATTCAGGGTGAGAACCTGTGGCAGTGGCAGCCCAAGAAGAGACACTCTATCTTCTTCAAAAGGCTTGCTTATGTGCGTGACCTTTTGGTTCAAAAGCTTGGTGACCTTCATCCTTCTATGGAAGAGGCTATGAAACCCTTTTGCTTGGCGGGTAACCTTATTCCAAGAAAGGTTTATGATTTGTTTAGGGCTAAAGCCAACCCGAAGCCTTGGATGGCTTTCATTTGGCAAAGCTATATTCCTCCTAAGTGCTCCTTTACGTTGTGGCTGGCACTTAGGAGGAGGCTGCCCACCAAAACTAACTTGGAATTCCTCGGTTTGCCTATGGACTGCACCTTCTGTGGACATGGGTTGGAAGATGTGGACCACCTGTTCTTTAGCTGCCAGTTCTCTAAAGAAGTTTGGGACAATATCAAGACTTGGCTAGGTATG